AAAGAATCACCAGAGCCCAGCAGGTCGAGGCTGCAGTGGCCGGGAGTGGCCACTGCACTCCAGTCTGGGTGACAAAGTGAGACTCCAACTCAAAAAAAAAAAAAAAAAAAGACATGATGGCCGGGTGTGATGGCTCACGCCTGTGATCTCAGCACTTTGGGAGGCAGAGGTGAGAGGATTGCCTGAGCCCAGTGTTTGCAGACCAACCTGGGCAATTTGGCTAGACCTCGTCTCTACAATAAATCAAAAAAATTAGCCAGGCATTGTGGCAAGTGCCTGTGGTTCCAGCTATTTGGAAGACTGAGGAGGAAGAATCACCTGAGCCCAGCAGGTCAAGGCTGTCATGTGTGTGCCACTGCCCTGCAGCCTGGATGACAGAGTGAGACTCTGACTCAAAAAAAAAAGACTGATGATATGCCTCTTAGATCTTTTTAAAGCTAGGCCACTCCTCAGTCTCCATTTTTTCCTTCTCTGGCAGTTTATTACTTGTCCTGTTGAGATACCTATGGTCTGGATTTTTTGTTTGTTTGTTTGTTTTGAGTCAGGGTCTCACTTTGTGGCCCAGGCTGGGGTGCAGTGGCACGATCACAACTCTCCACAGCCTCCAACTCCTGGGTTCAAGATCCTCCTGCATCAGCCTCCTGACTAGCTGGGACTACAGGCACATGCCACCACATCCAACTAATTTTTTAATTATTTTGTAGAGACAAGGAAACATTGTTGCCCAGGCTGGTCTCAAATTCTTGGTCTCAACTGATCCTCCTGCCTCTGCTTCCTAAATTGTTGGGGTTGCTGGTGTGATCCACCAAGCCCTGTTTTTAATTTTTTGTGTGTGAAGAAACAGGGTCTTGTTATCTTGCCCAGGCTGATCTTGAACTACTGGGCACAGGGAAGCCTCTTGCCTTTGGCCTTCCAAAGTGCTGGGGTTATAGGCGCTGGACCCTGCCCTGGATTTTATTGATTGCATTTTTTGGAAGGTCACAAGGGAAGGCTCCCTTGTCCTCTGTGAGCCCTGTAAATCTGTTGAATGGATGTAATTTAACCCCTACAAGAGTCCAGTGAGGTAAGATATCATAGGAATGGGTGTGGGCTTAGAGACAAGTGTTGGATACTCACTTCCTAGCTGTGTAGCCTTAGATGAGTTCCTTAACTCTCTGTACTTCCATTTCTATGTAAAATGGGGTTATACTAGCCCCTCCTGAGATTATGCAGAGTATTCATTTGAGTTAATAAAAGTATACTTGGTGAGTGCTCTGTAGCTATAGGCTTTTATGATTATCCCCCATTTTACATATGAGAAAGGTGAGGCTCTGAGAGGAGAAGTAGTTTGGCCTAGGTCATCCAGTTCAGGAAGCGGCTGGTGCAGAGGGATAGTGAGCATGGTGGGACATTGCCTAGCCTAAAGCCCAACATAAAATATTGATTCATTACTTGGGAGCTAAGGCTGTTCCTGGTAATCAAAGGGCTGCCTGTTCTCCTGCCCCTCAGCACAGGAAATTCCAAGGTGTTTTTCTATACAGGCTTCTTTGGTTCTGTCCCAGGAGGGGACAGTGGAGCAGCCCGGGTATCTAGCCAGACTCAAGAGAAGATGAAATTGAATATCTCAACCTGCCCTTCTGAGCCACTCTGATTGTTGAGGGGGTCCTGCCACTTGGAGTGGCCTGGGCTGCTTTGGGCCTTATCTGGGCATTTCCTAGGGCTGGCAGTCCTCACCCTGTCCTTGAAATGGTTCTGGCTAGGTCGCAGCCTCTAGGTGGTGTGGGCCTAATTTGGGATCGGGTTGGGGCGGGGATAAGACCGAGAACACAAGGTGCCTTGTGTTCTTGGAGAGAGGAGGGCAGGAGGACATTGGAGACCCCACTCTCCTCCTGGTCACTCTCCTGCTCATAGTCCATGATGGCTTGGTCCTCAGTGTTCCTTGGTGTCATCATCTTGCTGTCTGCCTTCCCAGGGCCTAGCACTGGGGGCCGCCCCATGCCAAAGCTGGCTGATCGGAAACTGTGTGCTGATGAGGAATGCAGCCGTAAGAGTCCGGAGGGGAGAATTGGGGGCTTGGGTTGTTGGCCTGCGTGAGGGGTGCTGTCATTCCCTTCCGTTCCTTCCCCAGATCCCATCTCCATGGCTGTGGCCCTTCAAGACTACGTGGCCCCCGACTGCCGTTTCCTGACCATACACAGGGGCCAAGTTGTGTATGTCTTCTCCAAGCTGAAGGGCCGTGGGCGGCTCTTCTGGGGAGGCAGCGTGAGTCTTGGGAGAGTGAAAGAGGGAAGGGTTCAGGGCTGGGGTGGGAGTAACCCCGTTAACCACCTGAAGGGAAAATTTGAGGGGGTGAACCAAAATAGAGACGTTGTTGGTGGTAGGAATACTGTGTTGTACTTTATTTTCACCTTGTTCAGCAATTTTAGGGCACTTATGGTACTTAGTGCTTAGACACTGAAGAAACAACAGCAAACAACCCCTTTTATTCTAATGGAGACAAGCAACAAGCAAACCAAAAATATCAGCAAATGTATGCTGTTGTGACAATTAATATATAGAGTGACCAGGCTACTTTATATCGGATGGTCGGCAAGGGCCTCTGAGGAGCTGACATTTAAGCTGAGATTCAAATGACAAGGATGGAGCCAGCTATGTGGAGATCAGAGAAAAGAGATAATGCAAAGGCCTTCAGCAGGAACCAGCTTGCCATCTTACTAGACCCTAGCTTTTAACTCCTCTTCCCCCAGGTTCAGGGAGATTACTATGGAGATACAGCTGCTCGTCTGGGCTATTTCCCTAGTAGCATTGTCCGAGAGGATCAGACCCTGAAGCCTGGCAAAATCGATGTGAAGACAGATGTGAGTGTCCTGGGCACTGGCAAGAATCTGGAGGGAGGACCCCTGGGTTGTGATGGGCAAAGATGTTCCTACTCTTGGCTCCTAGCGGCCTAGGTGTGTGAGCTGGAACAAATGCTTTCCTTGCCTCATTCTTCTCACCTGCAAAATGGGTCCAGTTGGGAGGTGCAAAGATTATAGAGGGTTCTAGGCTAATCTGCATAGCACTTGTGTGACCAAACCTAGCCTATGCGGCTGCAGCCTTTTCTAAAACCGCTAGATCCGTTGTGGTGTGACCGCTGTTTTCCTCTCCACCGTTTCCTTTTTCTCTTTTTCAGAAGTGGGATTTCTATTGCCAGTGAGCTCAGCCTACCGCTGTCCCTGCCGTTTCCCCTTCCAGGCTTCATGCAAATACATCAGCCGAGTGCAAACTGTGTGTCTGTGGTCTTTGGGGTAGGGTGGGAATGTACAAAGGAAGTATTTCTGAATCTAGCCAATCAACCCACCGAATGTGGTAATGTCAATGGTTGCTAGGCAGAGTTTCACTGAGGAAGGTCCTTTGCTCCAAGCTGAGCACCGTGGCTGGCGCCCAAGCTTACATTTCGGACAGAAGCAAAGGAGAACCTGAAACTGGGGGATTGTACTAGTCCAATGGGAGAGAGCCAGTCGGACCATGAGGAGGGCAAACATCGCTGAGCTGAGGCTTTTTTGGAAGATTATCTGCAAAGGGAGGTGGGAAGTAACCTGCGCGTGTACCCCCGATTTTCCTCCTTCCTGCCTTTGAGGTCGCAGAAATCGCTCCCCCGAGTTGAAGACCCGCTCCTCTTCCAGGCTCTTTCTGTCAATCCTGTCCCTGCCCCCTTCTTTGCATTCGTATCTCCGCCTTCAAATCCGCTCCTACCCAGTCGGGAGGCTCGAGTCGGCCTCCGGACTCCTGACCAAATCAGTTCCTCGGCTCAGCGAAGCACCTCTACACGTCCCTTCCCACTTGCTCAGCCAATCACGCGTCTTGGCCACGCCCCCTCCAGCGCGTTCCCTCTCGCGCCACCAATCCGCGACCCTTGTCCCGCCCCCCGCCTGCAAGTCCGCCAATCCCTCCCTTCGGAAGCGTGGCCTGGTATCCCGCAGCCTTAGCGGGTCGCGCCGGAGTTGGGGGGTGGAGGCGGAAGTGGCGGCGCCGGGCCCGGGGGGGGGGGGGGGGGGG